TTTCCAAGGAAAGGAGTGAGCTTTCTTCAGTTCTCTGAAAGAGCAGATGTTCTCAGGAGCTGGTGTGTGTAGTTGCATCCTGTAGTGATGCCTGGCAGGCCCCAGAGGAAAGGATTTTAAATGCATCCCTTTCCATGTGTGTTCTCAGGCTCTTCTCTCCTCGTGTGGGTTCCTCTGGATTCCCAGCTCTCCTCATTTGGTTATGGAAACCTGGCTGAGGTCCTGGGTTCTACTGAGAAGCTCAGTCACCTGAGTCTGATACTGAGGGAAAGCTTTGGAGCTGACTCATTAACAAGGACAACATCATTTGACCTTTCACTGACTGCTGATTTTTTGTTCTTATTCTCCTCATCTTAACCCTTTGATTTTTAGTTGTGTTTTGGTATTTCCCTTCCATCCACTCCAGGAAAGAAATATCAAGCTGGTTCTTGAGCCTTCAGATGAAGAGGAGGAAGTGTCAGGTGGCCTAGCTGAGATTTCCTTGGATGGGTTCCACCCTGGCAGTGCCACGGGGGCCAAGGTGCACCTGGATGCTGATGGCAGCCTGAGCTGGCCTGTCCTCTTCCTGTACCCTGAGCACGAGCAGACAGATTTCACTGTGGCTTTCCATGAGGGCTCCAGGTAAATGCTCTGCCAGCAGCGTTCTGGCACTGAGGAGGGGTTTGAGCAGGTGAGAGCAGGCAGCAATCCAACACTGCCATGCTGGAGCAGCCCCTGATGTCTGATCACACAGCTGACCCTGCTCTGCAGCAGGAGGCTGCACTCCATGGCCTCCTGAGCTCCTCTCCAACCTCAATTATTCTGTGATTTACCTGAATTTGTGCTGCAGACAAACACATTTAGCCAGGGTGACTGAAGGGGCTTGCAGTGCAATTACTCAGTAATTAATTAGTGGCCAGGGATACCTGTTACCCATCCAAACGTGTGGATTTTAGAGATTCATTAAGGTGCTGTTTCAAAGCCCTCCAAAAAGATCTCAGGAAAAAAAAAAATTAAACCCAAAAATTATGAAAAGCTTCCAAAGGGGACCTCTCATAACCAGCAGGGACCCCAAAGTTCTCCTCAGGGCCTCCAGCAGATCTGAAGTGCTGCAGACCTTTCAGACTCTGAGTGACAAGCTCAGAATTCCACTCTCCTTAATGTTAATTTCAATTTCTCATCTTGTAATGTTAAACAGACTTGGCATTTGTAACTTTTTGTTTGTTGGAAGACATATTCCTCATATCTATTAATAAGTTTAGAACTTGAAATTACAGTGCAAGCAGGTTGGTGAAGTTGTACTTCCATGGTAGTGTTCACTGTGCTTTTTTGTGGCTAAAGGAAGTGGAAATGGATTTTTAGGACAAACTGGCCTTCCAACGCTCCTCAAGTAGCAAAATAAAGAAGCCTTGAACACACAGACATATTCTCATCACTCTGATCTGGTGAAGCGTGGGACTGTCAAAGGAAAATCCATTTTAGACAAAATGCAGGGTGTTTATTTGACAGCTTTTTCAGTGTGAAAATGTGAATTAAAAATAATTTGTTGTCACACTGCTCAAATTTGAAGCCAGTAACCTGAGTTATAGGGCCTTGGATTTATTGGGAAAGTGAGTTTGAAGGGAAGGAACTATTGGTGATCTAAACTTACTTTCAAATCTGTTGTTTAATTTGCTAATGTATTTTTGCCATCATTCAAATGCAACTGTACAAGTTACTGAAGCTGAGCACTTTGTCTAAGCTGACCAAGTGTTTTTTGGCTTTTAGGTTTATTGATCATTTAATGGTGATGTTTGCTGAGTTACCTCCTTGGGATTTAGAAAAAAAGTACCTTCCCAACAATCTTGAGGTGAGAATTCTGATTTTCCTTCAATTTCAGGGGTGTTGTGTTATGCAGTTTTTTATTTCTGGAGTGAGAAAGTGCACAGCTCTGAGGGTATGAAAGTGCACAGCTCTGAGGGCATGAAAGTGTTGGCATCTGTTTACCTTGCACAGATGTGAAACAAGAGAGCTTAAACCCCTCACTTATATATTTAAACATTGTCCACATGTGCTGATAGAATTCACTGATGAAAATGGAAGTTGTCTTCCACTTACATTGTATTTGACAGAAGTTATTTATAAATATTGCTTAAATTCCATCTTTGTAACAATAATTAAGATTTAAATCATCAAGCTGATAGGTGGCCTGTTCTTTTAATTGCATTGTGGAGTTGCTCAATACAAATAAAGTATTATTTTAAAAATAATTTCTTTTCAGAACTAAGTGGAGTTACTTGAGCACATACTCAGATCTAGACAATATATCTCTATTAACACTTCAGCAAAGGAGGGTTGTGAGTTGGTGCAGCAGGTTTTGAGAATTTTTCTGAAGTTGTACATAGAAGGATAGGAATGTTTGTTTTTCATTTTCCACCCCAGTGTCACCTGTGCCAGGCAGCAGCAGCACAGCCCTGTGTACAGTGAGCAGGCAGGTCCAGAAGGACAGCTTAAATCCTGTGTGTATTTACAGTCTAAGGCACCACTGCTGGATTTTAATCTCTTAAATCAACTCTGTTTTGTTCAAATACCTCTGAACCCACTCAGTTTATCTCGTAGCATTGCTGCATTTCACCTGTTGAAATGCTGCCCTTAGATTTGGATTGATTGCCTGCAAAGCATGGGAACAGCCTGTGTATTTTGCCTCCCTGCTGCCACTGCCAGGAGAGCCTGAGCTGGTTTATACAGGGAGAACTTGGAATTCACACAAACCAATTTCTGCCTTGCTGAATTTTGCATCCAAAAGTTGGGTCAAGCTACAGAGGTTTGATAAACCCCCAGCTGATAATGGTGTGGTGATACTGGGATTTCAGCAGCTTAGTGCTTTCCTTCATGTACCTTAGGCATTTAATAATCCCCCAATTTTTTTTTTTCCCAGCTCTATTTTGAAGATGAAGAAAGAGAAGAAATGTATGAGGTGAACCCAGAACACACATTGCTACAAGTGCTGCAGCATGAAAGGTGAGGCTGTACCTGTCCCTGTCCAGGGAAAAAAAGGCAAAAAGTATGAGCTTTAAGTCCAGTTTGTTCTTAAATAATCCTGACTCTTCTCTGACTTAATAGTCCTGCCTCTTGAAGGCATAAAGCTGCATGGATTTTGTGCCTGGCTTTAGCAACTTACATGTGTTTTCCCCCAAAAAATGAACAACTCTTTCCAGGCATGGATGGAAATAAGAAAGGGAGTTGGGCACAGCTAAGCAGCACAGAAGAGCTATTCCAGATCCCATCTACACAATACTATTTAAAAAAAAAAAAAAAACCACACAAAAAAGAAGAAGGAAAACAGGCAGCAGCCTGTAAAGAGCATGTTGAAGGTTAACAATGCTCTCGCTGTTCACACTGCTGCGCGAGCAGCCCCCGGCGCAGCACGCAGCACTCTTCTGCTCTGAAACTGCCTTTCAGGAGTTGGGGCTGTTATTGAGAGAGAAGAATTTGCTGTTTGTGAAGCCACAAAGTTCCTGTTCAGTTGAGCTGCAGCGTCTCGTAGCTGGCTGGAGCTGCTGCTCAGCATGGGGGGCTCGGTCTGTCACAGTGGGAGCGGGATCTCTGTCACCCCATAAAACTCAGCAGTGCCCAAAGGCCCTCAGATTCCAGGCTGTAAGGGCAGCTGCAAAAGAGCCCTCCTTGCAGAGGGAGAATAACAGCTGCCTTAATTAAAAGAAGCTGTTGGGAGAGGAGTTGATTCATAAAACACTTCTCCTCAGATGTGCTTAGTCCTGGCTCCGAGAGGCTCTGCTAATCAGCACAGAATCTCATCTCCAGCCTTTGGAGGGTCAGTCTGTATGGAGCTGGGCAGGAGTCACTTGCTTTGCAGGACACTGGGCCAGCTACAAGGAAGCCAAGGACTCCTTTTGATCTTTGCAGGTATTTTGTAAAGGCCGGGACCCCGACGGTTTTGGTGTTTGCCAAGCGTTCTCCTTTCTCTAAGAAATACTTCTCTGGCAAGAAAGTGCATCGGCTGTAATGAGCAAGAAAGAAACGAGGAATCCTGTGCAAGAGGCTGCTGTTTGTTAGCCCAGCTCCAGGCTGCAGACTTCTGCTTCAACAAAAATACCTTGCACTCATCAGGGGAGGAAAATAATCTTGGCACACAGGGAAGCTTCCAGGGGAGCAGCACAGGAGAAGGAAGGGCTAACATGAGGGGATTATTTGTTTAAAAGGGAACCCAGCTGACTTGCAGAAGGTCTCCTCTATGATAGGCTGCATGTGGTTTTGAAATAAACCTGAAGCAGTGCCAAGCACTGGCTGTGGTTGCAGTAAGAGCAGCTGGGAATGTTCATCTGTACCTGAGAACATCACAGATCTGCTCGGGGGTGGCTGTGGCTGCTGGGGTTCAGCAGCAGGGGCCTGGGGAGGTGCCTGCCTGTTGCAGCAGGGTGGATGCAGCCAGGTTCCTGCAGCTGCTGCTGCTTTGTCCCTGCTTGGCTGTGCTGCTGGCCAGGCTGCAGCAGAGCTCTTTGTTTGGAGCAGTGTCTGTCTGACCCTTTTGATACCTCACTGAATGTCCTACAGAACCTGGAATAAACATGCCTATTTTAAGTAGACTGACTTCTGCCTAATGAATGAGACAAGAGTTTGTCTCACCTTGTGAAATGCCAGAGAATGACAGACACTGATTTTGAGCCCCAACATAACACCTTTATCCATTACATTAACAGGCAGGGTCTTCTGGACTTCTGTATTAGCGTTTGGCTTTTAATCAGAAGTAATTCTCAGTCTCTCATTTCTTTCTCTTCTATAGGAATGTAAAATAACTAAAGCACACTGTAGCTTTAGACACAGGGCATTAGAAAGCTGTTCAGCCATAAAACACTCCTACTTCCATCACAGAGGCTGGCTGCAGGCAGCTCTAGAGAAAACATTTCCTAAATTTCAACACAGCAAGAGTCTCTCCGCCCAAGGATGCTGCAGTTTGATGCCCAGAGCTGGGGTTGTTTACAGCGAGGCAGCAGGGGCTGGGCACTGTGCAGCTCGCAGTGCCCTCAGAGGGCAGAGAGCTGGGCAGCCAGGTGCCGCAGGCTCAGCCCGTTGCACAGGATGCACAGGAGGTTGCAGAGCGAGGACAGAGCGTGGTGCAGGGCGAAGCTCCGCGCCAGGCGCCGGTACGCGGGGTCGGAGGCGCGGAGCTGCCGGCGGGGCTCGCGGGCTGCCAGCCCCAGCTCCTGCCCCAGCCCGTGGCTCTGCTCTACCCGCTGCAGCTCAGCCACCAGCTCGGAGGCCGCCCGCCCGAAGCACTGCGTGTTCAGCACCGAGGCGGCGATGCACACGAGGAAGATGATGGTCTGCAGGGAGCAAAGCCACCCCACGTGTGGGGGGTTACATTTCTCCCCCAGGCCCCCTGGCTCGCTGCAGTTTGGGTGCTTGTGGGCTTCTTTTAACTGTGTGTGGGTCTCCACAGTTTGCAAGCCAGCCAGAGGAGCAGAGGAAGGGGTTGGGGCCGTGTGTGGGGAAGGGGGAATATACCTGGGTCTTGTGCTCCTGGCTGAGCTGCTCGCTGGGGTGGGACATGGCAAACAGGGTCAGGCTGAGGAAGGCACAGGTGGAGCTGATGTGGAAGTAGTAGGGGAAGAGCTCCCGCTGGATGGAGCCGAAAGTGTGGCGAGGGAGGTGCCTGCTCATCACAAACCCTGCAAAGGACCCAGGTGAGTCCTGGGGCAAAGCCCCCTCCCCGTGCCACCCCCCGGGGCAGAGAGCACAGCGCAGCCCAACCTACCGGCCACGAAGGTCACCCAGACCTGCATTCCCCAGGAGGTGGAGAGGACGAGCAGGTGCAGCAGTTTGATGGCGTTGGAGGGCTCCGTGTCACTCGCCATGGCGTGCTGGATGGGGACAGGTCCCGTCATGTCAGCCAGGTCACCCCGGATCCGGCACCGAGCTGTGGCTGCTGCTGTCACCTTGCTGCTCACAGGGCAAATGCAGTTCAGGTTCCCAAACCTGCTTACTCAGGGAAAGCTTTGGAGCTGGCACAGCCCCGTTCCAGCCTCACCACCACACACCCGACCGGGCTGCAGAGCTGCTCTTCAGTCCCCTCGTATCTCAGGGCAGGGCTCTGCGTCAGCACCTGCGAGCCACATGCCTGGGGTGGACTTTTGGCAAAGTCCAGCCAACGCCCCACTGACCCCTGGCAGCAGGAACCGGCACAAAGTCAATAAAAAGGGGAAGAGAAAAGCTGGGGCAAATTCACCTGCCCACGCCATGGCCATCAGAGGCCTCTTGGCCAGGGGGAAGCCCCCTTGTTTAAAAACAGAACAGTTTCTGCACTGTTTAACCAAAAACCTGGGGGCTCAAAGAGCAGGGGGCCCCCAGGCTCACCCCCTGCCCCAGACCCTGCACAAGAGCACGGGCAGGAGGCTTTGAAAGAACTGCCTGATCCACTGCAAGGAGCGCTCTGAAAATTAATTAAAACAAAGCTTCTGGGAGTAGCCCATCAATATTGCTGCCTGCAGAATTCCTCCTCCTCCCCTCGGCTGCTGCCTCGGGGCATGAATTACAGCGGGGCTGGCCTTGAGAGAGACACTGCCGTCTGATTCTGTCCCACTCCTGCAAGGCAGATAAATATGCCCTGTATTGTGATATATTAGCTCCATGTATTTATTTAGGCACCCATAAAATCAGGTCCTTAAACCTTCTCATGATGGCAGCACACCGGAGAAGGCACCCACATCCAGCCTGGAGTGCTGGCCTGTAAATCCCCAGCTGTATTTATTCATGGCCTTTTCCTTTCCAAGAGCTTCTGGGTGTTTTTGGGGATTTTTCCATCCTCCATCAGCCCTGGATGGCAGCCGTGGTCCTTAGGTGGGGCTTTGTTCCCTGCATCATTCTGGACAGGAAGGCAGTGGTGGGCTCTGAGCCCTGCTGCTCCCGAGGCCCCAGATCTGCCTCTCCAAATGCTTTGGATTTCCTCCATGCAGGAATTAGCAGTGAGAGCTCCAAGGTGTTTTCATGCAGGTTGGAAGCTTGCTCAGAGCAGGGGGTGACTCCCTTTTTTTAAAAGGCATTAAGAAAAATGGTGATTGATTGCTGAATTGGTCCTGGAGCTGTGCATTGATGGGGAGGGCAAAGAAAGGGCTCTGGGAAGGGCTGTAGGGACAGTGCCCAGCAGGTCCCTCCTTCTCTGTGGGATGAGGCAGTGGAGATGGGAGCTCCAGGGATGCTCCAAGCTGCCCAGCCCTGCTGGCCATGCCGCAGATGCTGCAGGGCTGTAGTTTTCCTGCAGAAGCACAAAGCACACGAGGCTCTGCCGTGCCCCCAGGTCACTCCTGCACCCCCAGGGACCCAGCCTGGCTGGAGCCAGGCCTGACTGGGGCCTCCCAGCAGGAAAAAGCACAATACTGGAGGAGAGGGAGAGGTCAGTTAGAGTTTAATGTTCAGGCAAATACATCATGCCCTCCACTTTAATCAAGCAGCAGCAATTCCTAACGGTGAGCAGGAAGGATGGCTCTTGTCCCGGTGATAAAAAGGCAGGATTGCTCTGAGTTTTGGGCGATAAGAGGGCTCTATAAAAATTGAGTGTTTTGTACCATGTTCAGCCTAAGATGGCTTTATCTTTTGGAGGTTGCCGTGCCAGGCCTTGAGCTGAGATGTTCATGATGGGAGATAGAGCAGAGATTGGGGGTTTATGGCCACAGCCAGCCCAGGGCTGGGATCACTGGAGGAGAGGGGCAGGAGCTCCTTCTGCTTATCAACCACCCCTTTCCTGCAGCACAATAGTCCTGTCTCAAAGTTCCCCAGCTCCACCTGAGCTGAGCTGTGGGTGCAGGACCCTGCTCCAGGCTCACCACACAGCCAGCCCCTGGAGCAGAGACTCACCCAGAGCAGACAGGGATGTCTGTCCTTTCAAAACACTCCTATTGCTGCTGATGGGGTGGGATTTCAGCCCAGATAGGGACGTCTGTCCTTTCAAAACACTTCTATTGCTGCTGATGGAGTGGGATTTCAGCCCAGGAGGAGCAGGGGCTGTTTGCCAGCCCTGCCCAGGAAAAGGAGCAGCACTGGGGAGAGTCACCCACATCACTGCAGCCACCCCATATCACTGCCCCCTCTCTCCCTTTGCTGCCTCAAAAGGAACCAGTTATGCCCCAGTGAGAACTAGTGAAAAAAATAATCTGGCTTGGGAAGATTTTGGATCATACAAAGATTCAAGTAGCGTTAAGTGAACTAGAAAACCACGTCCTGTACATCAGCTTACAAAATCTCTAAATAAAATAACAAAAAAGAAAGAAGAAGAGGTGTGACACATCAGTGCAGGGGGTGAGGTGGTACAGTCATGCCCCTCCACCCCAGCCCCTGAGACCAAAGCCCCCAGGGAGGCGGGGTCTGGGTGCCACCGTCCCACGTTCCCTTCCGCCACAGAAGTGTCCCCTCATCTGTCCGTCTGTCCGTCTGTCAGCAGGGGGCCATGGCTCTAGAAGTCCTGCAGCCGTGAGATCAGGTCCTCCTTGTTCTTCAGCAGGAACTTCTCGCAGGCCTCGAAGGTGGAGCAGATGTCTGAGGACAGCCCCGCCACGTTGGTGGTGACGTAGGTGAGGTACCCCGGCATGGCCTGGTTGTAATAAGCCACCTGCAGGGCACAGGGCGAGGTCAGCAGGGCCACAGGGCAGGAGGAGCCTCCTCCAGGGGCTGTGGGAGCATCTCCCACCTTGCTCATCTCCTGTGACTCCGGCCAGATGCAGAAGCCGGAGCAGAGCGTCTCCCCGCGCGTGAACTCGGGCCTGGCGGGGTGCGTGGGCAGCGTCACCGAGCGAAAGGCCACCACGTAGGGGTCCCTGGGGACAACACAGCTGGGTCAGCTGGCACAGCCTGCGAGGCAGGGAGCAGGCTCGGGCTGGGCACTCACCCCTTGCTGCAGGGCTTCCGCCGGGACGCCAGGATAACGAAGTCCTGCGGCTTGTTCTCGTTCCTGAGCTTCTGGCTCACCACGTGGTAGATCATGTCGTCGTCATCGACCTTCTGGACAAGCTCAGCACTCCTGGAAGGGGAGGGGACTGATCACAGAAACCCTGCTGTGCCCCTGAATCTGGGCCTTACACAGTTACAGCCCACCAGCAGACCTAAAATATCTGAGGGGACCCAAAACAGATGTTTGCTCCAGCAAAGCACAGCCATCAGCCCAGATGGAGCCAGGACAGGGACAGGGACACACCGTGTGAGGGGTCCCTAGGAGCAAGCAAGGTGTTCCAGACTGCAAGGCAAGATGTACTCTACTACCACCTGTACGGCAGTTGTCTTTTGTCATGTGGGCAGTTTTTCCTTTTCTCTTCCACAATCACTTCTCCCTCGGGAGGGGACATCTGCTGATAACAGCTATTTGATGTCAGTGCATGTCTGATAAGAACTATAACATCCCATTGGGAGATGCTCCGCCCAGAGGGAGGAGCCAAGCATTGCTACCCAGATATAATCTGGGGATTCTGGAACACCAGCACGGCATCTCCACTGATTTTCCCAGAGGAACAGCAGCTGCCTCTTCTTCCACTGGATCTTCAGAGGAAGAATACATCCTTCTCTCCAGGATCCCTGCTCCAACAGAACCACCCCTGACACTGCAGGAGGGCTGCAGCCACATTTCCAACTGGACTGCTGTTGGAGAGTTTTGTGCAGACGTGGCTTAAAGGAAAAAGGGCCATGATCATATACAGCTGGTTAAGCAGGGAAAGGAGCTGTAAGCAGTAAGTTCTCAGCCTTCTGATTACAAGAAAAACAAAAACACTGCGTCCTTGATCAAATAATGAGAAAAACACGGTGAAAAACATGGAGTCCTTGAATGCAGTCAACAACAGTCAACAGCAGGATGTAAAAACAAGTATTAGCCTCAACAAGAAAGTCACAGGTATTAGCAACAAAGGAGGGGTTGGCATGTAATCTGTAACCAATGATGAACTCGGTTTTTGCAATATGTATGAGCTTAATTAACACTACTATAAAAGTATGTAAGCTGGATCAATAAATACAAGACAAAGATCATCAATAGGATGTGCTCATCTCCCTTCACCTTCCTCAGACTGCTGCCAACACCCTGACCCACAGGGTGTCAGGTTGGGTTCTGACTCTGACAGTGTTGCTCTAGTGTACTGCATTGTTTATTTTATCCTTTTCTTCCCTATTAAAGACCTGTTATTCCCTGCTGCCATATTTTTTGCCTGAGAGCTCCTTAATTTTAAATTTACAGCAATTCAGAGGGGTGGGGAGGGTTTACACTCTCCATTTCATAGGAGGCTCCTGCCTTCCTTAGCAGACACCTGTCTTTCCAAATCGAGATACAAGGCAACACACTGGCTGTCAGGAAAGCCCAAAGGGATGCTCAACCACAAGGCTTAAGCCTGGGGTGTGTCAGAACTCAGTACATCCCTCCGGGTGTCCAGAGTTGCCAAGGACCCCGCCGGGGGGCTCGGAGACCCTGGCACACAGCCCAGAACACCTGGGGATTTGATTATGACCCCTGGAGCAAGTTACCAGCTTTGCATGAGGACCTGAAAGTCACAGAAGTTTAAATAGTACAATAATAAAATTATCACAGGATGAAAATGTAGATTTTAGGATTTTTGGTATGGGGGTTTTGGGGACAAGACGGAGGAACTTGGGCATGTCCAGCCTTTCTTCTGCTTCTTCTTAGTCTCCATTTTCTGCTGTGATGTTGGCACTTTGGGATTGGTTTAGAGTAGAAGTGCACTGTCTAACATAGGTGATAGGTATTGGGAATTAAGTGTAAATATGTTATATGTAGTTTGTAGTATAAAAAGACAACACCGCCCTGAGGGCGGTCAGAGTGCCTGTGGCTGCCTGGCTGAGCAGACTTCAGCTGGGCAGAAAGAAAATTTTATAGATAAGAATTAATAAACAACCTCAAGACCAAAAACTGAAGAGCTCTGACTTGTTCTTCAGATGCATGGGCCGAAACAGAGACATGCTGCACATCTCAGGGCTGCAGTTAACACCTAAACTCCGAGAGGGGTGTGTTTTTGGGGAGGCTGCAGCACTCACACGTAGTGGCTGTCCCACTCGTGCCGGCGCCGCAGGTTGGAGAGCAGGGAGAAGGCTCGGCTGGCCGGGATGCACACGGACATCTCGATGCGGAAGGACAGGAACTTGTCCTCCTCCAGCGTGTACATCCGCACCTGGGGAGCACAGGGCACAGCTGGGACCTGTTCCCACAGGGATTGGCCGTGCTTTGGGGCCCAGGGAGAGGGGACAGGGTTTAGCACCTTTTCCTTCTCTCTGGCGAGCGCCCAGTTCGCTTTGGCCACGAGCATCTTCAGTGCAGAGACGTTGTTGTAGCTCAGATAGACCTGGGGCAGGGGCAGCACATCAGGGGCACGAGGGGAAGCAGGAGGAGGAGAAGGAGGTGGCAGCAGCTCCCACGGGGATCATCCTACCTTGTTGCTTTGGTCCCAGGGCACGGAGAGCGGCACCTCGGTCTGTTTGCAGGAGACGACGTATTTTCTGCAGCAAAGGAACAGCTTCCCTTGTGAGGGGACACAAAGCACCCCCAGACTGTCCCTGCCCCCCAGTGCTGAGCCCCCCTTTCCTCCTTCCTCCATCCCCACATCCCACTCGTTTTGCTGCTCACCGGTCCAGCCGAATTTTTTTCCTAGCACTGGCTTCTCTGTACCTCCTTTCTCCATCCTGATAAATGGGAAAAGGCAATTAAGTTAATAGGAAAAGGAGGATGGAAAAAAAACCCAAAGAAAACCCATGCCCTTTTGGGAGTGGGAAAAACACTCAGCAGGGAAGGGCTGGCAAGTGAAGCCCTCTTGCTTGACAGCTGCCACTCTGGCCACACTGCACTGATGGTCAGTGATTAATTGTGATTTATTTCAGCATTGTCACCACCTCTGATCAAGTGATGGGCACTGGCACATAAGGGAAAACCCTTGTTGTGGCTGCAAACCTGAACAAAGCCCCTGAAACAAAAACTGTGTGCCCTAGCACCTGCAAATGGCCACTCCTGGGGAAATAAAAGCCAAAAAGAGCAGCTTATTTTGAAGAAAGTGCTAGTGTGGTGTTTTAAAGTGGGTGAGAGGAGCTTTCAGGGGCCCAACTTTGGCCATGAGATGACCTCCATCATGGTGGGAGATCCTAGTTTTAAGGCATCAAAAAAATGAGAGAGCTGGACAAGGATCAGCCCAGGAGAAGCTGAGATGCATGAGTGTTTGCTTTGTCACTGTGCTCATGCGACAGATTTCCCTAAGTATTTGGATCCCAGCAAATTACGGATTAGGATGCTTTGAAAAGTACAAAACAACCTCAACATTCCTTCCCCAAAATTATAGAAAAGATGAGCTGGAATTTGCAGGGAATACTCTGCTAAGCCTTGCATGGCTAATACACCTCCCTCTCTGCTCAGGCAAGTGGTGTATTTTATCAGTTACACCGAGCAATCAACTCAATCCACTTGGTTTTGGGCAACTGCATTCCCACCACCACAAAATTCCATTTGTTTTGCCGCGAATCCGAGAGCCCTTGGGGGCTGAGTGGGATATTTCCCCGTGCCACCAGGCTGGGGAGAAGCCATCCCTGCCGTGCTTACCCCCGGCTCGGGTGCCACCATGGGCAGCGTGCGGGGCTGGCCCTGCTGGTCCAGCACCACGAAGGTCATGAAGGCGCTGTTGATGTGCCGGCAGCTCACAGACATCTCCTGCCCGTAGGCCTCGGCGCTCACCCCCACCTCCATGCTGCCAGAAAGAAGGGGAGATGAGGGAGCAGAGGGAGCAGAGGGCCGTGGGGAGGGTGAGAAGGGCATCCCCACCACCGGCACCCACCTGTTCTTGAAGGCATTGTTGACAATGGCTTTGAGCACCAGGCGGTCCCCAACTTGCGACGGGCCCCGAAAGTGGAACATCTCAATGGCCCTCAGCGTGGGGTAGGCATGGCACAGACGGCTGTGGGGACAGGTGTCACCCCCCAGCCATGGCCCCATGCCACGGCACCTTCCCCAACCCAGCCAGAGACAAGGAGACCCCAAAAAATGTCACCCCTGGATCCCAAAGCCAGGCGTGA